TGGACCCAGGGTAGTTACTTCTGACCTCTAATATTGTCCTCACAAACCACCACAAGCCTTTTCCACGCACTTTGTCTTCACTCTTGCGTGCCCTGATAAACTTCCCAGGGGGTCAACCATCGCAAGACTACTCCCGTGCAAGCACGCTTAACTTGAAGTTGTTAGCTGATGAGCTCCCTTAAAAAGAGATGCACCTATGTTGGTATGAGTAATACTATCAATCCATTTAAATTAATCTCAAGTGTTACATCGTCGGCCACGTGGCAAGAAGCTTACATGGCTGCTGTCCGCCTCCAAAAGACCCAGAATGCCCTTGGGTTAGCTATCCACAAGGTGGCTGTCGTGGATGGCGCTAAAGTTGCTTTCCTTCTAAGTCTAGGGTCCACCTTGAGGCCACCTAGGTGGTAATTCTTGACCTTTCCCAGGCCTTTGCAGGTTACAAGGTGATGACATATTTTGAGGTGGCAACTCGAAATTTCACTCGAGGCATTTCTAGCGAGGTTTTCGGCAACTCCCTTGGTAAATTTTAGCAATATGAAACTTCCTTATCATTTGCGTTTGCGCGGCCCAAAGGGATCGGGCTACTCACCCCTGATGATTCCATCGAGTTGGGATCCATTCCCTATCTCTAGACCGGTCTAGGCCGATCGAGACCGGGAGTAGTGTTTTCCTACATCTACACTTCCTTACCATTCGTGTTCGCGCGATCCAAAGGGCTCGGGCTACTAAATCTTGATAATTCCATCGAAATGGGATCTATTCCCTGCCTCCAAACTGGTGTAGGCAGATCGAGACGGGGAAGAGTAAAAAGTTATATCACCACTTTTTTAAGGAGTCGGGCGAACTATTACTGATAGAACTTGTTCACACGCTCAACGTTCCATGTCCTCACCGGGAGACCGATTGTTGCTTTTAGGCCGAAAGTCCTAGTCGCGTATTTACGCCAGACTTTGTATAAATGTTCCCAATTTTTGCCCAGGTTACCTCCCTCGAGGGGATTGCTCTTTTCCCTTTTCCTTAGACTAGATCCCCCACCTCAACTGATCGAACCTTCACCCCTTTGTCAAAGTACCGCGGAGTTGCTCAGTGGTATTCTGCCATCCGCTAGTGTAATACTTGAGAATAATTTAAAGGGATTAATAGTACTACTCATACGAACAAGTTGCATCTCATTTAAAGAGAACTCATCAGCTACGAACACCAAGTTAGGTGTGCTTGTGCGAGAGTAGTCTTGGGATGGGTGACCTCCTGGGAAGTTTCTCATGGTGCACACGAGTGAGGACAAAGTGCGTAGTAAAGGCTTGTGTTGGTTGGTGGGGCCGATACTAGCGATCTGGATGACATTCATGAGTATCTACTCGGGCCCTACAGGGAGGGGTGTTACAGTCAGGTGGCCAGGTCTCTTCTTTCCACGATGAAATGTAGCTCGATGCATATATAGGGTTTCTTCGTTCTGTTTGACGTCAAAGTGCTCTACCCTATGTGTGGGAACTAGTACTTCAGTGGGGACCTTAGCTTGGATTCCCTAAGATAAGGTGAACGATGTCTCCCCGATTGCGATCTTCGGAGTGGTTTTGTATGTCCACAAGATGTAGTTGAGATGATTTGGGCAGGGGGAGACATAGTTATCGATTATTTTCTTGATCTCGTCTATGATTGTCCGGTTCATGTTTTCCACTTGATCGTTGTCTTGGGGATAGGCCAATGAAGCCTTGGAATGATGAATGCCTCCACTTTGTTAGGAATTTCTCGAATTGCTTGCCAATGAATTGGGGCCCATTGGAATTTGGTGATGCTCGCAAGGGGCTCGACCTCCACCCATTTAGCGAAGTAATCTATCCCGACGGAGATGGATTTCCTCCCGCCCGAACCCATGGGAAATGGGCCAAGAAAGTTGATTCCCCATCTGGCAAATGATGGTGAAGTGGTCATAAGGGTATAGAAATTGACGGGTCGGCCAGAAACGGGGGCATACTGCTGTCAAGCGGTGCACTTTCGTGTGTGTTAGAAGCAGTCTTGTTGAATAGTATGTGAGTAATATCCCTGGAGAATGATCTTCCTTGCTAGTGTCTACGACCCTTGATGGCTTGAAGAGATTCCTTCATGAATTTCCTCCATGATCGCTCCATCGAGGCAGGGCGGGAGGCACTTCAAATATGGTCCCCCGAACGTCTTCTTTATATAGTTATCCGTCTATAAGTTCGAAATTAGGGGCCCTCCTCTTTATCATATGTGGTTTGCAAGATATTGCATCAGCCTCGGGGAATTGTCCATCCCACAGTACGGTGACATCTTGCTAACCCAGTGTGGCTCAGCAAATGAGATTGTCTCGATCTGTAGTAGGTCCATCATCGGTTGAGGTAGCGTCTCATATCGGGCGAAACGCCTGATGTGTTCCGAAATCCAGTATGGCGTCATCGAATCGCCATGCGAGGTGTTCCCTAGATTGGATACGTTATTGACTTCAGCATTTTCCACTTGGGAGACTTGCTCGATGATTTTCTAGTCGAATCGGACTGAGTGCTCCTCGGCTCACTCCATGTATGCCCTAATCCGCTCTTTTTTGGTCCCTTCCATCCCGTTCATCTGGATCACCACCAACTAGCTATTCGACCGGACTTTGAGCCGTGCAGCGCCCAGGGCCTTGTCTTATTTCAACCTTTCAATAAGGGCTTCATATTCAGTCTCATTGCTAGTTACCGTAAACCCGAACTGCATGGATTAATATTGTAATACTTCATAATTTAGTATATGAATCTCAGTTTATGCTTCGGGGATGAAGCATTCTTTTGAGGATGGTAGATTGTGACACTTCAAAAAAATTAAAATAAATAAATTTATTAGTCATATAAAATGTAACAAAAGTGGCGTTTTAATAATTAAGTGCATCGAACAAAATTTTAACATTTGTGACATTCATTTTAGTCAGTGTGTTGAAGGTGGTATCAGAGCAACCCTGAGACAGTGTGATGATCCGTTGGATATCGGGTGGGTACTTAGTAGGGGAAGATTCTGGGTGTAGATTGTTACCGGGTGAGATTGGAAGTATGGTGTTAGGCGCTTGATGGTTGTAATGAGGGCCAATATAGTTTTCTCCATTAACGTATACCTTTTCTATGGGCCGTTCAATGCCTTGCTCACAAAATATATAGACCGTTGAACGTCGTTCGCTTCCCAGTAACATCTAAAATGGCCAGTGCTAGGTACATGTATAGATGCTCACTCGGGTCCTCCTTAGTGAGGACGAGCAATGGGGAGAGGTATAACTTGAAATCTTCAAATGCAGCTTGGCACTCCGAGGTCCACTCGAACATGTTTACCTTTTTCATAATTTGGAAGAATGGGATCGTATGGTCTGCCAACTTGGGGGGCTTCCATGTCTAGGATGGCCTTCACCTTCTCGGGATTGGGCTCTATTCCCCTTTCGCTCATCATATATCAGAGAAATTTCCCGCCCTTGACAGAGAAAGCTGCATTTCTTCAGGTTCAACCTCATGTTAGCCCCCTCCATTATCGTGAACACCCTCTCCATGTCACATACATGGAACGGCATGACGATGTAGCAGTACACGCCATCTGAGGTGACAAATGTTGTGTTCTCTGCATCATTCGAGTGCATGAAGATCTGGTGGTAGCCTCGAAATGCGTCCATGAAGTCGAGCAGCTCACAACTGATGGTCTTATCCACCAAATGGTTGATCCTGGGCACATGGTACAGATCCATCGGACAAGCACGCTTTGTTTAGATCCAAGTAATCCACGCATATGCGCCAAGTCGGACCCTTCGGGGCAAGGACAACGCTGGATAGTCATTCTACGTGGATAACCGAGTGGATGCGGTGGATTCTGAGCAACATGGTGATCTCTACTTTTGTGGAATCTCGTCGTTTGGCAGTCATGTATCGTTTCTTCTGATGTATTGGCATGGCATCGAGTCAAATGGCCAGCCTATGGCAGATGAGGTTGGGGTCAATCCCAGGCATATCCTTGGCCTAGCCGGCTTGCCCCATAACCCCATCAATCAGTACACATATATCTTTTCATGTATATATCGTACATACATTTATAAATTACTATGTGCACGTATTGTATTTATATGTTTATATGTTTATCATGTATGTGTAATTACTATGGAAAAGTATATTTGTGTCCCTTAACGATAGGAATGAGAGCGTGAAGGTCTCGCACAGGCTATAGGATCTAGAGTGAGTGTAGGCTATAGTTATCCAAACCAAAATCTTAGTTCGATACATTGCCTCCTATGAGTCCTGGCCCTCCTTTGACATAGTAATTCCGTGTTTTGTTTTGTTCATAAACTTGCACTTTGTTATCAACTTTTGATTAATTCACCGCAATACATGTCTATGAATAAATAAAATACTAAAAATATGGAGTATATCTTTAAAAATAATATAGAAAATCACGCGTTAAAAGTATTTAATATCCACATAACCACATTTCACATATTTTCATACTTATAAAAGCACAAACATAACACTTCCCTGATACCCTCTTAAAATTAGTTCTCAAAAGAATTTAAAGTTTTTAAATAATACGGGTAATTAATACGAATAACTGTTTGGTAGTATTTTTTCATAAACATAAAATATAATGTTTCCTTGATTTGAACATAATTAGTAATAGAGGAAAATTCATTTGGGTATAACATATTCAGACTATAAAGATAGATTTTTTTTATAACTTTAGTTTTTAATAGATCGAAAAGTTATACGGAGTATGAATGTATACAACAAATATCAAACAACAACAACAACAACATCCAAGCCTTAGTCCCAAAAGATATTGGGGTCGGCTAACATGAATCCATACATGATATCACAATCAAAAGGAAGAGAAGGAAAAAAGATAAAAAGATAAGCTATTATGAAAAGATAATATAAAAAAGATGAATATATATAAAAATGATAAAATAAAAAGGCTGCAAATAATGCATATATATATATATAAGGATAAAAAAAAACTAGGAAGAAAAAAAAAGACGAGGGAAAAAGATTATCAAGATCACTCCTTCACGTGAATACCCGCCCTCCACTTAGTTCTCTCCAAAGTCATGCCCTCATCCAACCCCAGAAGAAGCATATCACTTCAAACTCCCCTAACCCATGTCTGTTTGGGTCTTCCTCTCCCTCTCTTCCCTGCCTCTTCTCCACACATCTCAACTCGCCTAACAGGTGCATCACTCGGTCTTCTACGCACATGACCAAACCACCGTAGGCGCGACTCCCGCATCTTGTCTTCAATAGGTGCTACTCCCACCCTTTGTCTGATTGTCTCATTCCTCACGCGGTCCTTCCTAGTATGCCCACACATCCAACGCAGCATGCGCATCTCTGCCACACTCATCTTTTGAATGTGACATTGTTTCACCGCCCAACACTCTACGCCATACAGTAATGCAGGCCTAATTGCTGTCCTATAAAATTTACCCTTCAGTCTAGTCGGCATACCTCGGTCGCATAGAAATCCTGACGCACTCTTCCACTTCATCCACCCTGTTCTGATTCTATGGGATACATCTCCCTCTAACTCACCGTCCTTCTGAATTATGGAGCCCAAGTAACGGAACATATCGCTGACTGGTATCTCCTTACCATCCAGAGTAATTCCGCTATTACCACTACTTCTACCTCCACCAAACTTGCACTCCATGTACTCTGTCTTGCTCCGACTTAGTTTGAAACCCTTATTCTCCAATGTTTGTCGCCATACTTCCAACTTTGCTTTAAGACCTGATTGCGTCTCATCAATCAATACAATATCGTCGGCAAACATCATGCACCACGGTATATCATCTTGAATTGACTTCGTAAGTTCATCCATGACTATGGCAAATAAGAAAGGACTCAAGGCCGATCCTTGGTGCACTCCGATAGTAATAGGGAACTCTTCAGTCCTCCCTACACTAGTACGAACACTTGTAGTACAATCCTCATACATATCCATGATGATGCTGATATACTTGCGTGATATGCCTTTCCTAGTTAAGGCCCACCAAAGAACTTCTCGAGGTACCCTATCATATGCCTTTTCTAAGTCAATGAACACCAAATGCAGATCCTTATGAGCATCTCTATACTTCTCCATAAGTTGACGAAGAAGGTGAATAGCCTCAGTTGTTGAGCGACCAGGCATAAAACCGAATTGATTCTCTGAAATCTTCACAGTCCTTCGAAGTCTTTGCTCAATCACTCGCTCCCAAAGTTTCAATTCATGGTGTGACTCATAAGCTTAATCCCTCGATAGTTGGCACATTCTTGTACATCACCTTTATTCTTAAATAAAGGGATAAGAGTACTACTCTTCCTCCAACTCGTTGGCATCTTGTTGTTTCTCCAAATCATGTTGAAGAAACATGTTAGCCACTCGACGCCTCTCTCTCCCAAACTTTTCCAAGCCTCGATCAGTATGCCATCTGGCCCCATTGCTCTTTTCCGTCCCATCTTCCTCAGAGCTTCTTTAACTTCCGTTGTTTGGATCCTTCTCACAAAATCACGGTTTACCATACAATCTGGTATGGACAAATCGCCGATATCTTGCGTTTTGTTCCCGTTGAATAGTGTATCAAAGTATGACCTCCACCTCTCTTTTATCTCTCTGTCGTCCATTAATATCCTCTGATCAACATCCTTCACACACTTAACTTTTACAATATCTTGAGTTCTGCGATCACGAAGACGAGCAAGTCTATAAATATCTAGTTCTCCTTCCTTAGAGTCCAACTTTTCATACAACTCCTTTTTCACTTTCCCTCGTGCTTCCCTTACGGCTTTCTTTGCTTGTCTTTTAGCCTCCTTGTATGCTTCTATGTTCTCATCACTCCAATTTGTCCCCAACTTTTTGTAGCAATCTCTTTTGTTCCTTATGGCTTGTTTCACCTCATCATTCCACCAAGATGTGTCCTTTTTAGGTGGCCGACATCCTTTAGATTCTCCAAGTACCTCCTTTGCCACTTTGTTAATGGTCAACTCCATTGATAACCACACATCATCCACCTGTGTTTCATTATCAATACGCCATACATCTTCACCGACCATTTTGTGTGTAAAGCTTTGTTGAAGATCTCCCTCTAGCCTCCACCACTTTATCTTTGGCTCCATTTGTTGTTTAACTTGTCTTCTATGGTTCTTACCTCGAAAGTCAAGCACAAGCATCTTATGCTGAGTGACAACACTCTCACCTGGAATAACCTTACAATCAGTGTAGCTAGTTCTCCCAGTGGTCCGTACTAAGAAGTAGTCAATTTGGGTACTATTAGCTCCACTTTTATAGGTTACAAGGTGAAGGTCTCTTTTCTTAAACCAAGTGTTCATTATAGCCAACTCATACGTCAAGGCAAAATCCAAAATGTTCTTTCCCGCCTCATTCCTAGTGCCAAAACCATGTCCGCCATGAATATTCTCAAAGCCATCACGACTCGAGCCCACATGCCCGTTGAGGTCACCTCCTATGATCAACTTCTCTCCCCTTGGCACTCGTCGCACCACGTCTTCAAGATCTTCCCAGAACTGTTGAGTTGTAGATGCATCCAATCCCACTTGTGGTGCATAGGCACTTACCACAGACACAATCTCACCTCTTATCACCAATTTAATGCTCATGATGCGATCGTTCTTCCTGAAGACTTCTACCACATCATCAACATAGTCACGTGCCACAATAATGTCTACCCCATTTCTAGTCTTATCTCTCCCCGAATACCACAACTTAAAACCTCCGGGATTAATCTCGCGTGCTTTCTCTCCAACCCATTTAGTTTCTTGCACACACATAATGCTGATATTCCTTCTGCTCATTACCTCGACTACCTCGGAAGATTTCCCTGTAAGAGACCCAACATTCCATGTCCCAAAACGCAATCTAGCATTCCACCTTCTGTTCTTAGCCCCATCTCGGACCCCACCATGCCCTTGCATATTTGACATCATCCTCGGGCAATGGGATGACGCGCCGCTTCTGGGCGGCGACCTAGCAACCTTAGCATTCTTATCACCACACCCAGGTCTATCAAGTGTAGCGCGCCCTTGCATATTTGACACCACCCCCAGGCGGAGGGATGACGCGTCACTTACGGGTGACGACCTAGCATTAGCGATTTTCATATTTCGATTCATGTCATGTGATGTGACTAGGTGATACTGTTGGCCGTCACACGCCTACCACAGCACCCTCCTCCTTTATCCTGGCTTGGGACAGGCATGATACCAACAAATATCAAACCTATTCAAAAAAAGGAAATTGTCCTAAATTGGATTAAAACATTGTTGAAATTTCTAAGTAGAACTTTAAGTTTATCATTCCCTAAATTAGGACTCCTGATTACATTTTTGTCATTCTTATAATTAAACCCCAAAAGCCCAACTCATCCCCTCTCTATTGATCGTAGACTTGAAATCTCTCTACATCGATCGCCATTAACGCAACCCAGTCAGTTATTCGCTTGTGATTTTTCCTCTGCCATAGTCGCAGTCCGCAACTGCCCTGTCATCGACCGCAACTCCTCACTCCTCGCCTTTATCTTGTCCTCTGCTTTGTGTTGTTTTTCTAATTTTCTATCAATGAGATTCAAGGGACTAGTGATCAAGAATATCTGGATTTGAATTTTTATTTTTCATCAATTTTAACTTGTGTTGAATTTGAGAAAGCCTAACTACTGATATTCAAGAAAATTACACTTTTCAAATTTGAGAATGTCATTGATTATTTGAAAAACTATCACTTTAATGACAATACATTTATCAAAATGTCAATCTCACTTTGAAATTAAAGTATTTGGAATGCCATATTTTTTGAAATGTTGTCAAATGATGTCATTTTTATTACCCTAAATGTATATAAATCAATATTGTTTCTGACTTTTCATTTTCCATTTTGTTCTCATTTTCAGATTTTCATTGTAATACAACGATTACATAATTTTCTATGAAAATGGAATTCTTAAATGTCTTTATTTTTCATCTAAAATTTCTTTTCTAAATTTTCACAATCTGGAAATATTGTGTTTCTATAAGTAAATGTCATTATTATGTCATTATCCATATCAAGTGTCATATTATAACATGTCGAAGAGCGGGGGCTTCCTAAAAAGATGGCGGCGGCAAACCTAGTGAAAGCATCTTAGAGCTACAAAACTTGGGATCGGCAGAGGATTGTTGGAGCCTGGGATCTTTTAAAGTTTTTTTCATCAGGTGTATTTTTGTCATATTAGTACACTTTTAGTCCTATAAAACGTAGCAATCCTAATTTTGCGATTCTACTTTGATTTGGTCCTATTTAGAAAATTCTTTAATTAAAAAAAAACTGAACTTTTTCAGTTGGCCTATCACAAACCAATTGATCTCATACCAGACTATAGTTTAACTAAATCTTACCAGATCAAATCAGATGAGGCCTACACATTAATAAAGTACATGCAAATATGATAGTATAGTTTACCGAACTACATCAGTTCAAATAAGATTAGGCTAGACTTAAATTGATCAAATCAAATTAAAGTATATCAGACTAGACAAGATGAGACTGATGTTTCATTCCAAAGTAATTAAATGATTAGAAGACACTAATTGGATATAACTTACTCTCGACATTCTTGTTCTTATTTATCAACTGGGGAAGTCACTAGTCACACCTTCGATAGAGGCATAGCTAAGGGCTTTATTTCAATCCGGGTCACTTTAAATTTAAAAATTGTCTATATTTTATGCGCTAAAAAGTTTTGTAAAGAAATATCATAAAAATATCATAAAAATATTTTTGATAAAAATATCATAAAAATCTTTCAAAAAAAATATCATAAAAATCTTTTTGTACTAGTTCCGCCCTAGAACTTTTCCAGGCTACCCACACCAGTGATCTCTAACCTTTCTTTCTTTCTTTTTCTTATTCACTCTTAGCATGTTTTACTTGAAGCGAAATTCTCGGTTCCAAACTTTATATTTATGTCTGATGTAGTCTTGTCTAGTTTAAACCGGTCTCACATGATCAACTTAACATTTCCAAGATCGACCTTTGTCATGACATAATGAAAAAATAAAGAATTGACTACACCAAGATCGCAAACCTATTTAGGACAATTTCAACAACGTTTTAATCCTATTTAGGACAATTACTCAAATAAAACGTTGTTGAAATGTGTCATTCAAATTTCTGAAAAGGTGTGGTTTTTTTTTTGAAGAGTAATTGGAAGCTTGTTCTACTTTCTGCAAGTTGTGTATAATAAAATGGGACTATTGATTGAAAATGGAATTATTAATGAGGATATTTTAAATCAGAGTGGTTTCAATAGATCATATCAGACCGGACGTAAGCAGATCAAATTAGATCAATTCAAGTCAGATCAGACTAGAGCATTGTTTGACTGTCCTAATATAATCATAGAACAAACATCAATCAGACTTGATTAAAACAATTCCCATCAGATTAAACTAGCTAGAATAAACTTAAACAGATTATATCACATCATATCACACCAAAATAGAAAATCAAATCGAATTAAAAAAGTTTAAAGTACACTTGGTTAAGTGTAATAAAGGTTCTTATTGACCACACATCAAACCAAGTGATTATTCGTTAATTAATTAAAGAGTTTTATTGAGCACACATTTTGTTTGGGATAGCGGTTGAGGTGGGCTGCACGTCAAAATAATGATAATAATTTGTTTTTTTGGAGAGGGATAAAAACGGTTAGGAAATGCATGTGCGTGATGGGGCCGGTGAGTTTAGCGGTTGAACAATTGCATGTGACCAATTTATACTACGACCTTCACACTTCAATTCGACGGTGCCCGGGCCTCTGTCTGGACCAGGCCCCAACCTTTATCTCCCATCTCTCCAAAAATAAATTTTATGGTTTCCTATCTAAAATATTTATAAATTAATTCTAATCCTTTAATATTTATATACTACCTCCGTCCTGATTGACGTTGCCAAGTGTAAAATAGGTGATAAATAAGAATATTTAAAATTATGTGGTTGAGATTTGTGCAGAGCAAAGAGAAATATGCAGAACTATAAATTAGTTGTTTTAATAGTAAAGTGGCAAAATTTTTTTGGACAACCAAAAAATGAAAGTTGGCAAAGTCCAACGGGACGGAGGGAGTAATTTTTA